TCCTTCCTCTCAGGACTGAGCTCAGGTCCTCAGGCCTGCCAGGTTAGCAGTGCCTCTGTTTCCTTCCTCTCAGGACTGAGCTCAGGTCCTCAGGCCTGCCAGGTTAGCAGTGCCTCTGTCTCCTTCCTCTCAGGACTGAGCTCAGGCCCTCAGGCCTGCCAGGTTAGCAGTGCCTCTGTCTCCTTACTCATCTTCTTGCAACCTTTTTCTTCTTCTTCTTTGCAAGTTCAGAAAAAACAAATTCAACTGAACTCTTAAGGTTCATAAAGTGTGGTTTTTGCAGGTTGTCAACATGAGCAACACATTTTGAATGATTATTCCAAATTCAGACATTCTGTAAGCATAGGAATCTATGATGAACTCCTAGGCCTTTTCAAAGTCTGGGCCACTGCCTTTACAGTAAACTGTGAAAATTACTGGCAGACGTAGAGACATGGGCCCATTTGTTTTTAACGAAGCCCCAGTTCAAGTTTAAAGTAACTGCAAGACATTTATGGCAAGTAGAATTCCCCGATTTCCCTCAGTTTACTATTTTAAAAGCAGTTAATAACTTGGGACAACAGTGTATGCATATATAAAATTGTATGTATTATTGTTGGCACAGTCGACCACTTTTTCCTTAATCTCCTCCTAACTCGGAAAAAAAATCAAACATTTACTCAATAACAAAGGTTTTTCTCCCCCCACTCAACTGTTATTTCGGTTTGCCTATTGTTTCTTTTGGGACTTGATGCCTACATCCTAACACATGTGAAGCCTTTTCGACAATCACCCGTCTATTCTCAGTTGAAATTTTCGGATAGCTTTTTTTCTTCTTCTTTGGTTTCTGTACCTCTCAGTGATTCCGTCACTATTGGAGAGACTTTCAAAGTAAAATGGAATAAAACCCAACATTGGACTTTATTGCTTTTTCTTGCGTTATTTCTTCCCCCTACTCTTGCATAGGGGTGAGCTGACCAAGGTGATGGAGCATTCTACCTTCTCCAACTAGAGCGAGGCTGGCAGAAGCCAGTCCAAGGGTACAGTTGTTAGCTTTCTCCTGCACAACAGAGCAATCCGTTCTGCTTTAGTTATTATATGGAGGAAGGAAATCAAACGCAACATTTTGGTCACTTCACAGTCTGCGGTCTGCTGTAGAACTGCCCCTCCGCATTCTATTGCACATTGCCTACAAGAGGACTGCATCACTCCCGAATGATACACCTCGGTGGCTCACAGAAAACCTTCCACTAAGTCACACTGCATCAAATGGTGCTAATTTTATGTAGGCCACCAAGGTGCACCCTGAGAAACAACACCCTTCCATCCCCTTTCATTCGCAGGAAAAGAAAATCACATTTTAGAATCACGTCCCCGCAAGGTCCACCTGGAACTCTTCAGTCTGGGACGGCGGGGGGGGTCGGGGGGGTATTCCAAATTTCGATTATTTGTTCATTAAACCAAGGACAGTCACCCTGCTTAACACCTACAGGGGCCTACCCAACACTTCCGGCATGTTAATGTGTGAGAGCCCTGACTCCATCATTTACGGTCCTATCGCTGTGGGGTGACTCTTCCCATCCGCAGCCCCTTTACTTGTCCGCCACGACAACTGAGGGCGCCGCCTGCGTGGGCTGGGTATTTGATCCCGGGGCTGACTTTTGTTCTCTGGGCTTCAAGGTGAGCTGTGCCCCGCACCGCGAGCGCCCCCCGAGACCCCGTGCACGAGCGGCCGTGGGGCCCCACCTGTCCGCCCTGAGCCCTGCGGCTCTTCCCTGCGGCCCCGCGCTGCGGCT